ATCATCAACCATCAATCATCTATCATCAATCATCAATCATCAGCATCATCATCAACATCATCATCAGCATCATCATCATCATCATCATCATCATCATCATCATCATCATCATCATCATCATCATCATCATCATCATCATCATCATCATCATCATCTTCCTTCCTCTCTCCGCCTCGCCCTCCTCCCTCCTGCCCCCCCGTGCGCGGCCCGCCTCACGGCCAGGGGGCCGGCGCAGCAGCAGGGACATCTGGCGGTACGCGACCGCCTGAGCGGTGCGGGGTGGGCAGGACGGCGGGGGAGCGTGGAGGGCAGAGGGGGCCCTGGCTCCGCCGAGGAGGATGTACGCTCTACTGCATAGAGGAAGACATGTTTTTGTTCGGACGTTTGCGAGTAGGCACTTTGCGAGTGAGGTGGAAGGCCATCGGTAAAGTTGCAAATCGGCCGTGGCAAACGCGGCCCACAGACTCCAGCCGAGGTGGGCGAGGCCTCGAAGGGCTGGACGACATCACGCCGGCACTGACTGCACAGAGTGCCTGGCCGACTCGACCAGGCACGCTGATCGGGCGAGAGCCTCGAGACGGAGCAGCGGCGGCCGATGCCGAAGGAACAAGCCAGCGCTCGGCGGACCACGAGGGAGGAGGGGGATTAGGAGGAGGAGGAGAAACTGGACGAGGAGGGAATGGAGGGAGGAGGAGGAGGAGGAGGAGGACGCGGAGGGAGGAGGCACGAGGCAGGAGGCAGGAGGGAGGAGGGAGGAGGGAGGAGGGAGGATAGGGGGCGAGGAGGAGAGGAGGAGGAGGAAGTAGGAGGAGGAGGAGGAGGAGTAGTAGAGTCGCGGAGGTAGAGGAGGTAGGAGGAGGTTAAGGAGGAGGAGGAGGAGGAGGATCGGCGGCGCGCCTAAGGAGTGAAGCGAAGGCCGCGGGGCTCGTCGGAGAGACCTCTGGCCTCGAGGGGCACCCTCTGGGCCTTCGGAGGCACTGGCCTCGCGAGGAGAAGAAGGAGGAGGAGGCGAAGGAGGATTGAGGAGGAGGAGGAGGAGGAGGAGGAGGAGAAGAATCGAGGAGGATCGAGGAGAAGGAGGAAGATCGAGGAGGAGGAGGAGGATCGAGGAGGAGGAAGAGGATCGAGGAGGAAGAGGATCGAGGAGGAGGAGGAAAGGCCTCTGGCCTCGCGGGCCCAGGGAACTTCTCCAGACGGCCGGGGAGGCCCTGCTGCAGGGCTTGGGCGCGGGCCGCGGGCGCAGACGGAGGCCGCGAGCAGTCTCAATCCCGCAAGAGGTCGAAACGCGGACCGGGACCGATGCCGCCACAGAGGACAGCATGCGTGCTGGATGCGACGCCCAGGGAGGAGGAGGAGGAGGAGGAGGAGGAGGATCGAGGAGGAGGAGGAGGAGGAGGATCAAAGAGGAGGAGGAGGAGGAGGAGGAGGAGGAGGAGGAGGAGGAGGAGGATCGAGGAGGATCGAGGAGGAGGAGGAAGATCGAGGAGGAGGAAGAGGGTCGAGGAGGAGGAGGTCCGCGCGGATTTCTGGGATCGGCGCTGGACCCCCCGCCATGACCCGCGGAGCGCGCCCGGGGGGGGGGCCGGGGCGCCGCCACGGGTGCCAGATCCAGGCAAAGTCGGCCCACCTGGGGCACTTTTCCTCCGAGGTGCATTTTCGTGGCCCCTGGGCTCGAGGACGGCCCCCAGAAACCGAACAGAAACCAAAGGCTTTCTCAAGTCCAGAGCCTCGAGCCAGCCCGCCCTTCTGGCATGCATGCTGGATGCGACGCCCAGGGATGGATGCGCGCACCTCTTCGGGCATGTCGGCCGACGCAAGGTCCAAGGAGATTCGCGTATCTCACAGCTTCCCGGGCTCACTCGATGAATCCGCTCTCGTACATGTTGTATCTCGCGGTTCTCGGGACCGACGAGCGTCTGAGATCGAAACCAGCATGGGCGTCGCCGCCGACAGGTGTGAAGAGGGAACGGGAAGGATGCAGGAGGGACGAGGCAGGAACGGGGAGGTATAAGGCAGGAAGGGGAGGGAGGTGGCGGGGGGAAACAAGAGAGAGAAGGGAGGAGAATGGAGAAGGGATTGGCCTGATTCTAAAGCCAGGTCAGAAAGGTTGAGGAAGAAGCAGGAGGGAAGGTAGAGAGAGGAGGGGATCGAGATAACAAAAAAAACGCATAATTAAAGAATTTGGTTAATTATGTTAATGCGGCGCCCCCGCATCACTCACACTCACCTCCTTCCCTGGTCACTCAAACTCAGACCCACTGAAACTCTGACGCAGTCAGCCTCACTCGTATCTAGACTCGTTAACACTCAGAATCAGTCGTATTCAGACTCACTCCCACTCAGGCTCACTCGCTCACACCAAGAGTGACTCCTCTTCAGACCCACGAACACTCAGACTCACTCACTCACTCACTCATTCACTCACTCACACACGCACACGCAGAGTCACTCGTCTTCAGAGACACTGCACTCAGACTCGCTCACACTCAGCATCTCCCCTTCTCCCTCATAGCCCGACCCACATTGAAACTCACACAAGCTCACTCGTACTCAGACTAACTCACACGCTGATCTAGTCCCACGCAGACTCACTCACGCCCAGTGATATTTAAAATCGTATCCATCCACACTCACACTCACTCACTCAAACTCAGAACCCCTCCTCTCCCTCATGCTCAAAAGAACTGACACCCAAATATCAACTCATGCTCAATCTGACCCATACTCGGACCAGCTCACGCTCGGATTTATTTTGACACTCGGCCTCACTCATATCCGTGTGCACCCGCACGTCAACCCACTCGTAGTCAGACTTGCTCGCACTCAAGTTCACCCTTACGCATACGCACTCACACCCACGGCCCCGATACCCGGACTCGATCCTACGCAGCCTCACTCACGCTCGCACCCACCCGTGGCAGGCACGGCACGCCGGCATCCCCGGCGGGCGCCGCGCCAGGGCGGGTACTGCACCGGCCCGTCCGCGCGCCCACACTGTAACGAGGCACGCCCGCGTTCGGGCCAGGCGCAGACCATGCCACCCCACCACCACCACTAAGCCGTGCATCCTGCGGGACGCGTGGGCGGAAGAGCGCACGATTGGCGACTCTTCAGAAAATCCACAACAGAGAGCGAGCACGCGGAGCACCCCGCGATTGCGAAGCAGGCCATGCCAGAACCCCACATGGTCGCCTCGGCGTAACAGGCATCGCTCTCGGGCCTCAACAGGGGGGGGTCGCCAGAGCGTGCTGCGCGAGCCCGGCTGCGCCCCGAGCAGCTGGGACTCCATCAGACAGAGCGCTCGCTCTGGGAGGGTAGACAAAAATGTCGTCTCGGGGCCCCAGCGACGCAGCAGGCATCGAATGTGACCCTCCCGGGGCAGGGGGGGGGGCGCCAGGGGGGTTGCACGAGCGCTTTTGCGCCCACATTGACGGGGCATCTCAGCCAGAACGCCGGTTTTGGAGGGTGGGAGGTCAAGGAGTCCCTGTTCAGAGCCAGATGACCACCCTGATGTAGGAGGCATTACACTCAGGCCTCCCAAGGGGAAGCCGCAAGGGGATTATTGCACAGGCTCGTTCGCATCCCGCTTGTCTGGACCTCTCAAGCAGAGCGTCCTCCTTGTGAAGTGAGCGAGTCTCTCTTCAGAGATCCATGACCACCGCGACGCAGCAGGCATCGCACGTGGGCCTCCAAAGGTAGAGCTGCCAGGGGGGTGTTGCACGGACCCTTTCGCGCCAAGCTTGCGGGGGCACCTCAAGCGGAACCGAGGTGTTTGCTTGGGGTGCGGATCTCTATTCAGAGCCTCATGATCACCGCGGTAGCAGGCATCGCCCTTGGGCCTCCCAAACGAAGGGGGGACGAAACCTAGACGGGTTAACAAATTGATAACAGGTTCAAGGACTCGCGGGTCCATAGCTTCACTGAATGACGGCTCACGGGTTCACGGGTTCACAAAATCGCGGGTTCACGAATTTGCGGGATTACGGCTTCGCGGGTTAACGGGTTCACGGGTAACGGAATGACGGATTCGCGAGTTCACGGGCTCACGAATTCACGGTTTTTCGCGTTCATGGGCTGAAGACGTCACGGTTCACGGGTTGACGAGTTGCTAAGTTGACGGTTTCACAGGTTCACAAGATGACGGGATCACCGGTTCACGGGTTGACGAGTTAACACCAGACCCACTCAAAATCAGGTCCACGCAAGGTTTCACCCGCTCGTGTACAGACCCGATCCATGTTAGACTCATGTTCGTTCAAGCCCGCTCATACATCGGACAACTTATACCCAGACGTTCAAATATTGTGTCACTGACCCACTCACCGTCAGATCCACTCGTGCTCTGTCACCCATATTGACTCCCTCGTGCACGCAGGATCGTTCATACTCAGACACCCATCACGATAAGGGGATCTCCATGCGATTACGAGATAGTAGCTGGCCGCAGACGAATTACTGCCAGCTCAGCTGGCTATCAGTTCAGCTGTCGCTGCCCCAGTGTCTAGAAGGACTGAGGGCTGGGCTCGCTGAAGAGCTGCAATTTTTCGTGTCCAGGAACAGTCAGCCTCTGCAGCAGCATCAGGTGTCTCCCAGCGGCCAGGAAAAAGGCCACAGCGGATACGGCTGAGAGGTTCTTCTCTGGCACTCTGTGTCTAGAGCTCCGACCTCTGCATCCCTCGCACGGCACGGCACATCCCTTCCAGCCCAGACCACCCCCAGGCCCTCCTCCCAGCACCCCTTGCCGTCCAGAGTGACGGCCGCGAGAAAGCCTGCTTGGACAGGTCATCGTAGAAGATGACCGCGTGCTTGCCCGTGTCGCGAAAGTACTCCGCCTTCGGCAGGGTAAGCATCACGAGCAGTGGGAAGGGCGCGCACGAGCTAAAGCATAGTCGTAACCCCCAGCTCCCCCCTCCCTTCCTTCCACCTCCTTGATCTCACCACCCACCCACACACGTTCCCTCCCTCCCCTTTTCCATACACTGGTCCCTACTCTGGATATATATATACAACTATATATATAGATATAGATATATATGAATATACATACATACATACATACATACATACATACATACATACATACATACATACATACATACATACATACATACATACATACATACATGCCCTGCCCTCTCCCCGGCCGATAGGGGCCCCATCTGGGGCCCTCCATCCTACGCGTACAAAAAAACAACGCGGAGTCAACGTGGCTCCTCTCAACGTGAGGGTTATGTCGTCCATGTTGTAGAAGGCATGGCAAAAGCGGGACAGGGCGCACATCCCGCACAGAGGCCAAAGTGTCGCTCTCGCACTGGCGCCGCGCTAAGTTTCACTCGAATTCGGTTCCCGCTGGGGCGCGGCGCACCACTTTGCGCACGCCACTTCGTCGACGCGCGCGCGGGCGGGCGAAAAAAATGGGAAAGTGGCGTTCCCGCCTCGACGCGTCGCACATTGGTCACTTGCCAATCAATGGGGCGCCGGCGCGGGCGGGCAACCTGTGGCCCTCGCCCAATCTCCGGGCGCGCTCTACGTGGCGATGGTCCCGCGCGGGCACGGCGCAGGACTCGATCGCCGAGTCGCACACGAGCGACAGCGGCAGCGGGGCCGCGCGAGAGAGAGCGAAATTGAAGAGGCCCTGGGACACACAAATAAATACACACAAATAAAAGGGTTCCCCATATTTTTCCATATTTTCTGGGTTTTCGTCCTCCCCCCCACTTTCCATATTTTCCTATATTTTCCTGGGGGTCGACGATTAACTGTGTCTGTGTGTTTCTTCCCCTCCTAAGAAATGCCGTCCTGGCCCAAGCGCCGCGCAACTTGTCAGTGAAAAGGGCAATGCTGTGTCAGCACGGCACATGGTTCTGCCGGTCCCCCCCTGCGCGGCCCGCGTAGCTTTACGGTCGCCAAGTCGTCGGAAGAGGCCTTCCGTTTGCAAAGTGGAAGCGCGTTCCCAATCCGGATATCCAGTTGTGCCACACTTGATTATGATGTTGTGGGAGGGAGGGCAGGAATAGTCGGGGCCCTCTGACTTGTTCGGCATGGCAAACTTGACTCCCACTCACACTCACACTCCCGCTCTCATCCCTCCCTCCCTCGTTCCTCCCCCTCGCTTCCCCGCGTCCTCCCTCCCACAATCCCCCTCACCCCCTCCCTCCCTCCCTCCTCTTCGGCCCCCCCCTGTTCCCTTCGTCTCCTCTTTCTACTCTTCCCGCCTCCCCAGTCCCCTTCTCCGACGGACACGCAGTCCTGAACGACACGGGCTCGGTGAGTTTTCCGCCGAAATCCTGACACCACCCTAGTAAAGATTCAATTCAATTCATCACGGTCCTCATCGTCCTCATATCCGCGTTCCACCTCCTACGTGTCATCTTCGGGCCTCCTCTTCATCATCTTCTCACTTTTCCTCCTCCTCCTCCTTTTCCTCCTCCTCCTCCACTTCCTCCGCCTCCTCCTCCTCCTCCTACTTCTCCTCCGCCTCCTCCTCCTCTTCCTCCGCTTTTGCCCCCACGCGCCGCCCGCTTGTGGGCGCCGCTAACCTCTTCCTTCTCCTCCTCTTCCTCCACCTCCTCCTCCTCCTCCGCTTCTGCCTCCGCGGGTCGCGCCGCAGGCGCAGACCGGTGCAAGCGGGGCCGCACAGAGGCGGTCGAGATTCTCCTCCTCCTCCTCCTCCTCCTCCTCCTCCTCCTTGCTCCTCCTCCCCCTCCTCCTCTCCTCCTCCTCCTCCTCCTCCCCTCCTCCTCCTCCTCCTCCTCCTCCTCCTCCCTCCTACTCCTCCTCCTCCTCCTCCTCCTCCTCCTCCTCCTCCTCCTCCCCCTCCTCCTCCTCCTCATGTGGCCCTCCCCTACCCTCGGGCCATGGCGCAGCCAGTGTAGGGCGCCAGGAACTGCAGGGGCGCGGCGTCGGAGGCCGTCGCCGCCACGATCGTAGTGTACCTGCCGTCTGATGGAAGGAGGAGGACGACGACGAGGAGCAACAGCAGGAGGAGGAGAGAGAAGAGAGGGTCGCGGGGTGGGTCGCGGGGTGGGTCGCGGGGGGACGGGGGGACGACGACAACAAACAACAACAACAACAACAACAACAACAACAACAACAACAACAACAACAACAACAACAACAACAACAACAACCACCACCACACCACCACCACCACCCCACCACCACCACCACCACCGCAGCACAGCAGCAGCAGCCAACAACAACAACAACAGCAACAGCAGCAACAGCAGCATCAGCAGCAAACAAACAACAACAACAACAACAACAACAACAACAACAACAACAACAACAACAACAACAACAACAACAACAACAACAACGACAACAACAACAACAACCACGACAACAACAATAACAACAGCAACAATAACAAGAAGAAGAAGAACAACAACAACAGCAGCAACAACAATAACAACAACGACGACGACGACAGCAACAACAACAACAACAGTAGCAACAACAACAATACCAACAACAACAACCACAACAACAACAACAGCACCAACACCAACAACAGCAACAACAACAACCACAACAACACCAGCAGCAGCAACAACAACAGCAACAACAACAGCAGCAGCAACAACAACAAAAAGAAACATAATCCTCAACACGGATCCCCACTTCAGCCACGCACCCAGGGACAATGAATGACCTTTCGGCCCCCTCACACTGATATTGAAAGATGTCAGTGGGCCCTTTGATGACAGGGACCAGCAAGTGACGCGCTGCTTGGACCTATGATGCCAATCAACATATCTTCGTTCGTGGTAGCCGAACTCCTGAGAGCTTTGGCCAAACTGATGGTCGGGAAGGCGGCGCGGCCCGGCGAAGTCCCGCTAGACTATTGGACAGGACAGGACAGGACAGCCCGCGCATTGGCACCAAGCTGGGGTGCTGCGGGTGTGGCGCCGGAGCGCCGGACATTACGGCAAAGGAAAAAACAGCGGAGGAGGAGGAGGACGACGACGAAGAAAACGAGGCCCGGTCAGAAATTCACATGTGGTGTTGCGTAAACTGTGCCCCAATGTCCTGCCAAGAATCACTTGATGCAAGATCAAGAATCGCTGAAATACTCATGGGGCCACATTCCAACGTATCTTCGGCATGATTTCTGACGTCATCGATCCATCTGGTTTTTGGTCTTCCCATCCTGCGTCTGGCATTATATACTGGGTAATGTTGTGGAGTCCATTGAATGACTTGTCGCATCCATTCCATTTCCCCCGTTGCACTCAACTTTCGTACACACTGCCATTTCCTCTGCCGTACTGTCGAGACCCAATCGTCGATTCTTAATTTTGCGATTGCTGCTTCAGTCTTGTGTGTGGCCCGCTTGATCTAATCGACCCATGGCTCCAAAACAACAGCGTTCGCTTCATCGTCATCATCATGAATATTCGGCGTGGGATCCGGCGGGTTACTGTCGACGTCACATCCGTGGTCGTCCTCTTCGTCGGAGTTCTGGTAGGCGGTGTCGTGCTGGTCGTTGGTCAGATGCTCGAGTGCTTGCTGTGATGCTGCGAAGATCATCGTTTCGAAAATTCTCGCTTCCAGGAAGCTCGCACTGTAAGCAGCGCTGGCTCGTTAGTCAGGGAGATTATGGGCTACCCCGACGGTACCCCACGAAACTGGGCGACAGTGAAGCGACGAGGCCGCTCGCGGCAGCAGTAGGCAAATATATGGAATGGTTTGATCGGCTCAATCTTTTGTGGCTGTTTCTTTCAATCCTACTTGTCCTTCTCCTCCCCCTTCCTCTCCTCCTCCTCCGCCTCCTCCTCTTCATCCTCCTCCTCCAGCCAGGCTGTTTAGTCCAACCCACGGTGGCGCCGGCATGTCCTTGGGGCTTACTGAGATGATTTATTTTTCCGCAGCGAATCATGACAGGAACCACGAGTGTCCTTGCCAACTAACCCACGCGTCTTTCAGGATGCTTGGCCGTCTTGCTTGCGCGTTTGGCAGCCAAGGTGGCTGCCAAGAACAGGAGGGAGGCGGTTCAGGCTTGTGACGGAAAGTGTTGGCGCTGAAGCGAGCGGGCCCAATGGGGTGCCAGCATCACCTGATGAAGCTATCGCCGAACTCAATGGGCACAAGGTGATATTTGTTCACGACTCGATGTTTTGCACTTATGTGGCTTCTACCAGGTCTGCGCTGAACGCGTGGCAAACTGTAAACTACAGGCCCGTCCGAGGAGCTACAGGCCAGAGCGAGGCGGCAACACGATACGTTGGCCATCCACTTCGGCAAGCACCCCAAGACCCCCAATCCCCTGCAAGCTCAGGGCAAGCCTTTCTGTGAATAACGCTTCGCGCGTGCACGCCCCTGTTCCGTCACGCGGCGGGCCGGCCCCGGCAGTGCCTGGGAGGGGTGAACTTGGCCTGCGTGGCGGTCAGTACTCCTGTGTACGGTGGCCTCCGTCGGCCGCCCAGTGGTTCCTTCTCGGCGGCGCCCACCGGGAGGGTTGGTGGGTGAAGGCGCGGGGGAAGGTGGACTTCTAAGAAGGCAGAGAGGCTTCTTAGAAGGCAGGGGCGGCTCGTGGAAGACGCCGAAGGCCTCTGAGAAGGCTTCTCAGACGCTGGGCGGGACACCAAGAGGCACCCCTGCGTTCTCAGAAGCCTGGGCCGCCTTCTCAGAAGTCCACCCCCACGCGCCGCCCGCTTGTGGGCGCCGCTAACCTTTTCCTTCTCCTCCTCTTCCTCCTCCTCCTCCTCCTCCTCCTCTTCCATCTCCTCCTCCTCCTCCTCCTCCTCCTCCTCCTCCTCCTCCACAAACATGTTTGTCCAGGGTTCCCGAGTAAGGATTCCTTCGTGAAAATTCCGAAGGAAACTTTAATGAAGATCATGTGCGAAGGATTCGTGAGTACGGGTGCCTTATTACGGGCTTATTGCAAGGATTGCTTACGAAGGATTTCCAGCAAGGATTCCTTACTGTGAGCTCTTCGGGACTGGTTCCAAACTAAGGCGTCCTTACTCAGGCGGCGCTAGTTAGGAACATGGATTAAGGATCCCGCAGGATCTCAAAGGACCCATGGGCATTGCAAGGATTCGTAAGACCCACCAAGATTCCACGGGATTCCTATGGATTCCGATTGGAGGGGCAGGGGGAAGACCATCGTTCAAAACAAAAAAAACAAAAAATGATTTCGGAAAGACGTCTCGGGAGAGGGGGGGCGCGTGTTTGTCCGAAATCGTAGTTTTCGATGTGTGTTTTTTGTTTCTTGTTGATTTCGTTATGTTTATGGGTTGTGTTGAAGGCCTCCCAGTCGCCCTGCCGCCCTCCGGGGACCATCGAAAGGGTAAGCCGGGCGTTTCGCCTTGAACTTCCCCACTATCTATGACCCTGAAGCTTACAGATTGGCAAAAGTTTCACGTATTGAGGGCGGGACGTTTTCAAAACGTGGCTCTCGCAGCAGATCCCCGCGCGCTCGTGTTAAAAGTTTGCAGACATTTTACGGACATGAGGAGGGCAGTTTTCAAAATGTGGTTCTCGCTTCAGCGCCGCGCACATTCGCCTCACAACCAAACACAGAGCTTCATGGATTGAAGGCGGGCGGTTTCACAAATGCGGCTCTCCCATTTGCGTCGCACGCAGTCGCCTTTACAAGATGCACGAATCTCACGGATTTAAGGCGGTTCCTCTTCAAAATGCGGATCTCGCCTAGACGCCGCGCACATTCGGCTTTCAGATATGCTTGATATGTGTATATATATATATATATATATACATACACACATACACACATACACACGTACACACATACACACATACCTACATACATACACACACATACATACATACATCCATACATACATACATACATACATACATACATACATGCATACATACATACATACATGCATGCATGCATGCATACATACAAACAAACATAGATACATAGATACATAGATACATAGATACATAGATACATACATACATACATACATACATACATACATACATACATACATTCATACATACATACATACATACATACATACACACACATACACATATACATACATACATACATACATACATACATACATACATACATACATACATACATACATACATACATACATACATGCATGCATGCATGCATGCATGCATACATACATACATACATACATACATACATACATACACACATACACACATTCATACATACATACATACATACGTACGTACGTACCTACGTACGTACATACCTACATAACTACATACATACATACATGCATGCATACATACATACACACACATAACAATACATAATTGAAAACAAAAAGGAGACCAGTTCCGAGGACCCCCATGGCCAAGGAAACAACAGTGGCGTTCTGGAGCGAGTCAGGATTGTCAGGGCGCGCCAGCCACGTTGATTCGAGGCGTTGGAGTCCCAAGAATGGTGCTCTGGCCGGATTCAAGATCGTCAAGACGCATCAATCAGGTTGACTCGTGGCGTTCGAGTCCAAGGACTGGTGTTTTGGCACGCTTCAGGATCTTCAAACGGTTGTCTCCCAACGGGGTACTTCCCTCAGTGGAAATGAATGCTTGCAGGGGCCTGTGACGAAGGAGCTTGGAGGGAAAGGTTATCCCACCATCGTTGATGAGTCGCGGCCTTACGCTGATCCTCTTCATCCTTCTCCTCCTCATCATCATCAGCAACAGTATCAAAATCGACGTCAGCATCAACATCATCATGTCACCATAAGCATCCTCATCATCATCCGCATCATCACCATCGTCAGCATCATCCGCATGATCGTCATTATTATCATCATCCCCACCATCAGCATAAGCATCACCAGTTTCATCATCATCATGACCGTATTCATCCTCATCATCATCAACAACATCCTCATCACATGCATCATCATCACCATCATCATATTCATGGCGTCCTCTTTGTCGACAGTCGCCCGCCAGGGCGATATGTGTGCGTTAGCGCGAGCGCCAAGCCTCCCCCCGCCAGCCACTCCGCGTCGCCGCTTAGGACCAGGCTCATAGCGGGCCACGCCTCTGCGCAAGGGCCCCCGAGAACGGCCCGCTGGTCCTTGGTCCACGCCACCACGTCGGGCCCCCGAAGGGGCCACGCAACGCGGCGACCACGCCGGGCCCACAATGGGGCCACACAGCGCGGTGGACCACAGAGCGCTTTCCTGCCAGCGGCAAGGGGGAATTCCGCCCCGTGCCTGACTCTGGGTCAAAGCGGTCCCATACGGCAGGCTTCAGTGACCATCGCCTCCACACTGCCTGCGGGACAGACCTCGAGAAACTCGCAGCGGAACGGGCGACGGCCACACCTTTATCCCAAGTCCGAGACGGCACGAGATGGCTGGGGGCAGCTTGTGGGTTAGGCCTCGGGGCCCAGACAGCTACGGAAGAATCCGTCGAGCTCCCTCAGACGATTCCCGCCGGACTCTCGTGCAATATGGTAAACCAAAAAGCACATCCATCACGGCGTCCTTTTTGTCAACCGTCGCGCGCGACAGCAATATGCGCGCGCGCGTTGGCGCGAGCGCCAGGCCTCCCCCCGCCAGCCGCTCCGCGTCGCCGCTGGGGACCAAGGTCATAGCGAGCAGCACCTCTACGAACCTGCGGGTGCCCCCGAGAGGGGCCCACCGGCCCTTGGCCCACGCCGCCACGTCGGCCCCCCGAAGGGGCCATCCAACGCGGCGACCACGCCGGGCCCACAAGGGGCCACACAGCGCGGCGGGCCACGGAGCGCCCTGACAGCGGCAAGAGGGGAAATTCCGCCCCGAGCCTGGCCCTGGGTCAACGCGGCCCCATAGGGCCAGGTCCCAGAAACAATCACCTCCACACCCCACCAGGCCCTTGTCTTTTCGGGCTAACAAGCCGCGCGCGGTGAACTGGAGGCATCCGCCACGCTAGGCCCTAAGGTCCGTACTGCACACATGCTACCGAGAGGGCAGGACAGAAAAAAAAAAAAAAAAAAAAAAAAAAAAAAAAAAAAAAAAAAAAAAAAAAAAAAAAAAAAAAAAAAAAAAAAAAAAAAAAAAAAAAGCAGAAGAAGAAGAAGAAGAAGAAGGAGAAGGAGAAGGAGAAGAAGAAGAAGAAGAAGAAGGAGAAGGAGAAGAAGAAGAAGAAGAAGAAGAAGGAGAAGGAGAAGAAGCAGAAGAAGAAGAAGCAGAAGAAGAAGAAGAAGAAGAAGGAGAAGAAGAAGAAGACGAAGAAGAAGAAGCAGAAGCAGAAGAAGAAGAAGAAGAAGAAGAAGAAGAAGAAGAAGAAGAAGAAAGAAGAAGAAGAAGAAGAAGAAGAAGGAGAAGAGGAAGAAGAAGAAGAAAAAAAAAAAAAAAAAAAAAAAAAAAACTCCGCTCTATCCCAGGATGGCTAAGTAGCCGCTGAAACCACGACGTTCTTGAAGGTCTGGATTGCCTCCAATTCTGTCGACGCAAAGGTGGCCTACTGGAGTTTCACAGAGGCATCAGTGATATAGATTCGGGCCGTTTTGATGTTGGCCCAGCGACCTCTCAGGGCAGTTCCATTGATGTCTCCTTCCATACGGCCATGATGCGTTGCTCCACCTCGTCTTAAACTGCACTCTTCGAGACCGAGCGCTGACAGCCCGAGTACCCGAAGAGAGCCACACAACAACTCGCGGAACTCAGAGGGCGCTCGGGCAACCACAAGGCCCCCTGGGAGCTGCTAGGGGACTCGGGAGAGCCATCGCACAGGGATAGCGCCATGGACGCTCACCATCTCATGCGGATTTAACCTTTGACCAGACTTAGCGAGTCGAAGATTGATGACAGCACTTCCTCCAGTCCTGGCGATCGTAACGTCTCGCTTCCGAATCGCCAAGACCTCGCCCGTTCACAGCCCGCAATGAAACGCGCCTGCGGCGGCGAGAGCAGAACGCGGGCGCCCAACGTCGCACGTTACGCCTGCGATCGCCGGCGTCACCATCTGAGTCAACGGCGGAGCCCGCTCTGGCAATGCCAACTGGCCCCAAGCGGCTTTCGGGCGCTAAGCCGACGGCAAGCGACGCCTGGCGCCCGGGACGAGGCGTCGCAACGCTGCGCGGGCGCAGGACGCCCAGCCCATCGGCTCGCCCCCCCCCAGAGATGCCCTATAAACTCTGCGCACAGCTGACCCAGCTGATCCAAATTCACAACGTTCGGCCAAGACGTTCGGCCATGCGCCCATTCTGAGAATTTCAGCAATTTTGACGTATTGCGCCATCACGCGCTTCGTCGGGATATTGTCGCTCCGCCTGCCCAGCGCCGCTCGCGCCGCCCGCCTTGCCCCTTCGCGCCCTCGGCACCGCTTGACCTCAACCGCATGGCACCCATGGCGCTCCGCTCGGAGCGTCGACTGAATTGCCCGCCGCGCGCGCGCGCCCAACGCAGGGGGCGCAGAAGGTCGCGAGGCAGAGGGCATTGAGGCGGCATAGAACGGCGCCCAGGCGGCGCGACGAGCGGCCCATCGCAGCGACCGCCACAGTCACCTGCGAGCCTACGAGCGGCCCATCGCAGCGAGCCACAGTCACCTGCGGCGAGCCACACTGACCCGCGGCCAGACGTTGCACCAACCCGGCAGCCCAACGTCCAGCCTCACATCGCTGCCGCGATGGCCCGCACGGCGGTGCGCCACGAGCATAAGGCTATGCATGAGCTCGTTCGAACTCTGAACCTCCGCATAGCGGGCACTCCCCAATCCGGGCGCTGCTGGTCCAGCACGTAGGCATTGCGCAACGCCGCGCACTTTCAGAAGGCGGCCTGGATCACCGACGGCATCGGCGGGCACTCCAGGAGCTCGGCGTGGCATAGACCCTGACCAACAAGCCACGCCGTCACCCTCGCGTGGACTGCGTTCAGCAACGCTCATTCTCGAGCTGCCGGCGTTCCCAAGGCCCCATCTTGCGCAAGTCCCTCTTGCCAGCGAGCGAGCTCCCAGGCCAATACCCCATGGGGATCTCCCGCTCAGATGCGGCGGGAACTGGCGGGGACCGCCCACCGATGTGGAACTGCGCCTGGCACTGGTAAGGGGCGAACCTGCGGCGGTCTCAACCCCAGTGCTCGAGGGCGACGGCATCGCACCCCTGGATCCCCCTCGGGTCAGCCCCCGGGCTCCTTAGAGGGATAGCACGCGTGAAGGTGGGAAGCCTCTGGTCCAGAGGTGCCGCCCAAACGCGACCCTCCTCAAGCCAGAGCTCGCCCGGCTCCACCTGCGCCGACGCCAGCTCGACGAGGTCGGCGATGTCCCCTTCGGTAACCACGACGCCATCTGTCTCAAAGATGGGAAGCTGGCCCAAAAGAGACGCGGCCTCGCCGCGGCTGATACGCCCGCAGAGTCGATGCGCAGAGGGTGACGCGCCATGACCTCCGACATGACGACGGCGTCGCTGATCTTTTCTCGAGGCCACGTTCTCGCAGACGGCGAAGACGGGGATGTCATGGAACACGACCCTCAACTCCGCCTGCAGCCTCGGGACCTCGAAGAACAGCGCAGACCGTGGATCAGGGAGCCCAGCCTGGAGGGCTGAGCCCGCTGGCTCCCTGGCACGGAAGGCCGCGCGCTCCGGCCACGGCCACGGCGCCAGGACATGCCCGCGACAGGTCCTCGAGCTCGCGCTGAGCCGCGTTCCGCACGTCGGACCACTCGACGTCGCCGGGCCCGTTCCTGCGGTAGACGCCACGGACCGCCTTGTCGGTCTCAGCGTAGCCAGCGCAGTTCACGCGCACTCCGAGCCGGTCCACACTCATCCCGAGGCCACCGATCCCGCCGAAGAATCCCGCGACCGCGCTCGCGCAGCGAGACTGGGACCGAGGCATGATGCCACGCCGCAGTCGCTTCCTCAGCTGCGAGACTGAGCCCCACTGAGACTCCACCGCTCTGCTCCGAGGCATCGGTCGCAATCGGGCCGCAGTCGAGCGGCGGGCGCATGTCAGCGGCAAACATCAGCACGCCCATCACGCACATGACTAGCTCATCTCTCACTCGGCCCCCGAGCGCCGCTCGCTTTGATGGGAGACGCACTCTGCTGACCCAACGCCACGCTTCGCCGAGGCAACGCAAGTCTTGGCGCATCGGCATGAAGTTGAACACCCCGCGCCCACACAGGGCCTGCACCTAGACGAGGCCGGAGTCCTGCTGGTCGAGCATGCAGGCCGCGAGCGCCCCAGGAAACTCTCGACAGGCGGCGCGGCCCGCCCCGGGAGCACGTCCACGCCCCCGCGCAACACGCGGGCGGAGCGGACGAACCCCTTCTTGATCGAGGCGGGCGCCGACATGGCCTCCAGCGCTCGCCGCAGCGCGGCCTGGCGCTCGGAGAGCGCCCCCCGCTGATTTCTTCTCAGAGACCTTCGCGAACTCCGCCCCCGCAGGGTCGTCGACGCACATGCCCCAGTGCAACCTCTGAGCGAGGTTGTCACGGGCGGGGAAAGGCTGATCTCGACGCAACTCCTGACTCGCAGCCAGATCTCGCACTGGCTCGCAACCCGCCCAACGCGATCGGCCTGTGCGCGTGCTGCACCACTCCAACCGCCGACAACCATCCCATCGGGATCACCCTCACGCAGACGTACATCTCACGGTACTCCGCGGAGCTGACCCACTTCCCCCGCGGCTTCGGGAACGCAAACCAGCGCCACCACTGAGGCGAGGACGCACAAGTGAAAGCACCCCGAGATGTCATCCCCCGAGAAGAGAGCGACCTCGTCGTCCATCAGCACAGCCTGCGCGCACTCTCCTAGGAGGGGGAGCTCGTCGACGTCTCCCATGGTGAGGGTCTGCCATGCATTCGTCGGCGCGACGTTGGCGATCAGGCGCTGCTGATGGCGGTGACCCTCTGGCGCGCCACCGCTCTGCACCACGCCAAAGGCCCCATTGCCCAGCCGCCTTCCGCGATTCACGGGGGCACGGGCGTCCTAGACCTCCGCTAGGGCCCCGCGGTCCAACAGCTGCCCAGCGACGCAGTCCCACTCGTCATCGTCGCAGCGCACAGCGGCTGACCCCACTTTCGGCCACTCCTCGAGCGGCAAGACGAACACCACTTCGCGCTCGAAGACATGGCGCACAGCGTCGCTGCAGAAAGTGAACTGGCCGCCCCCATGCTGCCACGCCGCTCCGCGGGCAGAAACCCAGACTCGATCTGAGCCAACGTCAGCTTCTCGGGTTCGGTAACGACCCTCTCGCCATACCCGAACACTGCGGATTTACAACCTCGCCCCAGGCGATCCGCTCCAACTCGGCCCCACCCCTCTTGCGCGAGCAAAGGTGCACGGCCGCCTCCCCCGCGCGCCGCGCCGCCTCCTGCTGCGCCGCCGTGCGCCGCGGGGCGTCGCTTAGGCACCTGTCGGAGATGAAGCCGGAATGCCCGCGCTGGTAGCTCGTGAGCAGCACTTGCAGGCACGTCCAAGCCCTGACCCAAACCTCCCAACGGAGGGTGCACCTCTCGCCGCCTCGATAACTCATCACGCTCCCGGGCTCGTTCAGACGCTGGAACAAGGCATCGGCGTGCTCGCCCGCACTAGGCAAGGGCAGAGGCAGGACGTCCGCCTCCGCGAGGCATTCTCGACCGCATGGCGCGCCGCGTTGAACGCCTGCCTCGCCCGCCTGCCCGCCCGCGCGTCCGCGCGCAGCAACAGTCGCGACACCTTAAGGCCCACCTTGGCGACGTTCACATCCAGGTTGTGGAAATCCCACAGGGCCTCGACCTGCATCCTCTTGCCAAGTTCGAACTTGACCTCCACGACGGCGGGGGCCGCCGCGCGCGTCACCTGCATCAGCTCTTCCGGCGGCCCTTCTGTCGCAAAAAGCCGCTGCTCCCCCAGGCCAGGTGCCAGGGAGGTCGCCGCTGCTGCGCGCTGCGCCTCGGCGTACCCGATCCGTTGCCCGACGCCGCGCCAGCTGCGGCCCGGGCCCGACTCCTCGGGGCGAGCAGCACTGCCCCGGGCTGGGCCTGAGGCGGCGGGAGCGGCGCAGAGGGCGACGCCATCGACCTCGACGCGTCCTCGCCCTTCCCTAGCGGGTTCGCCTGGCGGGGCCCCTGCGCCCTCCGCTCCGCCCAGGCCTTCGACTGCGGCGCAGGCGTTCGCTTCTTGCGCTCGTGCCTCCTGGCACTCGCCGCCATCGCGCTCGTCTGCCGCGGCTCCTCCGTCGTCGGTGGGCCCCGAGGGGCCGCGGCCCCAGTTGGCGCGGGAATCCGCTCAGGCTGGCGAACTGCCCCCAGGAGCCCCCACCGCCTGCCCCGTCGCCGCGCCCGTCTGTCAAGCCACCTCGGGCAGGGCGGCCCCCCGCCCGAGGCTCTCCACCCCCCAGTGGGCCTTCTTGCTCTGCCTTGCCTGTTCCTCGATATCCGCGAGCTTGGCCCTCTGCATCTCCAGCTGGCCGACGAGCATCTCCCCCGACGGGGCCGCGAGACCGATCGCGCGCTTAGGGGCCAGCTCGCACTGCCACGCCGGCGCCGCCCCCCCCCCCCCGCGGCCCTGACCTCGCAGCTCTTGAACCTCTGCGCGCACAGGTCTGCGACCCGTGGGAGATCGCCGAGGCGCGCGGAATCGAGCATCTCTGCAAGGGACCTCATCTCCTGACCCAAGTCCCCCAACTGCTCGGGGGGGTGGACTGCGTGAAGCACTGCCGCGAGATACGTCACGAATCGGGCTTCCTGCGGGATCGGCCCCGCTTGCACGGCCCCCCCTCGGGCGCTCAGATAGCCCCCGATCTCCTCGATCGCCAACTGCAGAAGCTGCCCTGGACGCCGGCGCGCGAGGGGCACCAGGCCCTCGCCCTCCCGAGGGAGAGCCAGGCGAAACCCCGACCCATCGCTCTCGTTCTCACCAGTGTCCCGACACACGCCAACGGCAGCACTGAGCCTCACCCCAGGCCTTCGCCGACGGTCCTCCTCAGGCGGGTTGGCCACGACCCTGGCTCTGTGCTGCGCAGCTCGATGCGCCGAGATCTCGCCGACCCCAATCGATCCGGCTGCGCCGCGGGCCTCCTTCTGACTCGCTGGGCCGTCAGGCTCGAGCTTCGCCCGCAGCTCCGCGAGTCGCCTCTCGCGGTCAGGCCTGCGCGATGCTACAGCACCGCCGTCCTTGGGGGCGTCGAGGTGATCGTCGTCACCACCGAACACAGCAGCTCCCCATGCAGGGTCACCCTCCGGGGCCTCGCCTCGTTCGCCCCCCGCTGGAGTCGGCGGCCCTTGGATGGGAAGCTGAGGTGGCGGGCGAGGTGCGTAGGGTCGGGCCGCAGTCGGTACGAGTCCACATGGATAAGCCCCCTACCTTTGTCAGGAATCGCCCCCATGCAGTCGCCCGCGGCCCCCTCACAGAAGTTCACGAGACCGTCTCAACCAGGGCCCCGAAGAAGCTTCGCGGACAGCGCGGTTGCCTCCGACCCTTTCACCACGTCCATGAACTCGCCCTCCAAGAAGCAGCCGTTCCGCCCGTTGGCGCGGACCCGCGGCACGCACCTCTGCACTCGAGCACCTCACCACCCCGCACGGCCATGAGCGGAGCGTACCCATCGTCCTGGACGCTCGTTTTCCACAGCTCAGGGCGCCTCGCCTTGGGGCCAGCCCTCGCTCTGGCCTGGGCGGCAGCCTTGCCCAAGGGCTTAGGACGAGAAGGCGGTTCCTCGTCATCGACGAGCGCGGGAACGTTTTCCTGAGGCCTGCTCTTCCCTCTGTTCCGTCGCTTTTCCTTCTTGAGCTTGACCTCGCCGCCCTCGTCGCTAGCTGCCGCCAGCCGCTCGAGCGCCGCATCCGCCGCAGGCGGGGAGACGAAAGCGGGACGGCACTTCTTGACCATGCCCGCCCCGCGGACGGTCCTGCGCCGCCCCGCGGGTGGGAGGGCGGCTCCTCCGCCCCTTGCCCGTAGGCGACCTCCACCTCAAAAGGCGGACCCCAGGAATTCGGGGCCTAGTCAGGCGGCGCGCCCCCCGCGTGCGCAGCAAGCCCCCACCACTGGGCGGCATGGCCAGCCGCGTGCGCGCGTGCGCGGAAGCGGGTGAGGCGAGCCGCCCAAGCCCTTTGGGCTCACTTGAGCCCAGACAGCTACGGAAGAAACCGTCGAGCTCCCTCATCCCGCCACACTCCTGTGCAAACTTGTAGACAAAAAACACAGCCATCATCATCACCATCATCACCATCATCACCATCATCATCATCATCATCATCATCATCATCATCATCATCATCATCATCATCATCATCATCATCAGCATCATCATCATCAACATCAACATCAACATCATCACATCATCATCAATCATCAGCATCATCATCATCATCATCATCATCATCATCATCATCATCACCATCATCATCACAGCATCATGCAGCGGCATCATCGGCATCATCAGCATCGCCAGCATCATCAGAATCATCACCATCATCATCATCATCAGCAGCATCAGCAGCATCAGCAGCATCAGCAGCATCAGCATCAGCATAATCATCATCATCATCATCATCAATCATCATCATCATCATCATCATCATCATCATCATCATCATCATCATCATCTCATCCTCATCCTCATCCTCATCATCCTCATCATCATCATCAGCATCATCATCATCATCATCAGCATCATCATCGTCGTCGTCGACATCATCATCATCATCACATCATCATCAACACATCATCATCATCATCATCAGCATCATCATTATTATCATCATCATCATCAGCGCATCATCATCATCATCATCACCATCATCATCATCAGCATCAGCAGCAGCAGCGGCATCATCGGCATCATCAGCATCGCCAGCATCATCAGCATCATCACCATCATCATCATCAGCAGCATCAGCAGCATCAGCATTAGCATCAGCATCATCATCATCATCATCCTCATCCTCATCATCCTCATCATCATCAGCATCATCATCATCGTCATCATCATCATCATCAGCATCATCATCATCATCATCATCGTCGTCGTCGTCGTCGTCGACATCATCATCATCATCATCATCATCAGCATCATCACCAGCAGCATCATCATTAGCAGCATCATCGTCATCATCCTCATCATCAGCATCATCAGCATCAGCATCATCATCAGCATCATCATCATCACCATCATCAGCAGCATCAGCATCATCATCATTATCATCATCATCATCATCAGCATCATCATCATCATCATCATCATCATCATCATCATCGTCATCTTCATCATCATCATCATCCGCATCCTCAGCATCATCATCGTTATCATCATCACCAGCATCATCAACATCACCAGTGTCATCATCATCAGCAGCAGCATCATGGTCATCAGTGCCATCATCATCGGCAGCATCATCATCATCCTCATCAGTTTTATCATCATCGTCGTCATCATCATCATTATCATCACTATCATCACCATCACCCTCATCATCATCACCATCATCATCACCACCATCACCTTCGCCTTCAGTATCATCATCATCAGCAGCAGCATCAGCATCATCATCATCATCAGCATCATCATCATCATCATCATCATCATCATCATCATCATCATCATCATCATCATCATCAGCGTCTTTATCATCATCATCACCATCCTCATCATCACCACCACCATCATCATCACCAGCAGCATCATCAGCAGCATCATCATAGTCATCCCCATCCTCATCATCATCAGCATCCTCATCACCAGCATCATTTCATTTGCCGCATCAGCATCATCATCAGCATCATCAGCAGTATGATCCACATCATCATCATCATCATCATCATCATCATCATCATCAGCAGCAGCAGCAGCAGCAGCATCATCACCGTTGTCGTGACCATCATCACAATCGTTGTGAAATCATCATCAGCAGCAGCATCGTCGTCATCATCAGTATCATCGTCAACATCCCAGTATCATCATCGTCGTCATCCGCAGCGTCATCAGGGGCATCATCATCATCAAAACCATAACCAGCTAACCAGCATCATCATCATCGTCATCATCATAGGCATCATCATCGTCATCATCTGCATCGTCATCGTCATGATAATCGTCTTCATCATCATCAGCAGCAGCATCATCACCACCACCACCACCATCGCCATCACATCATCAACCATCATCACCGTCAGCATCATCATCCTCCTTCCTCCTCCTCCACCTCCTCCTCCTCCCTCCACCGTCCTCCTCCCCCCTTCCGTCCCCTCGCCCAGGGGCGGGGCGGCTCGCTTCAGGCAATCGTTCTTGCGCAGGATCTCGAACAGCTGCGCCACGGTGGAGCGCTTCTGGCCGACGGCCACGTAGATGCAGTACAGGTGCAGCTTCGAGTCGGGGCCTGCGTTGATGGACCTGGCTGGTATGAGGAGGAGGAAGAGGAGGAGGAGGAGAAGGAGAAAGAGGAGGAGGAAGAAGAAGAGAAGAGGGAAGAGGAGGGAAGGGGGAGGAAGGGGAGGGGGAGGAGGAGGAGGAGGAGGAGGAGGAGGAGGAGGAGGAGGAGGAGGCGGAGGAGGAGGAGGAAGAAGAGGGGGCTAGGTGCGCTTGCGCCATATCTGCCATCCTCCCTTTCCCAGGGGAGCTCCATACATTGGAGCAGGCGGATGAGGAGGAGGAGGATGAGGAGGAAGGAGGACGAGGAAGAGCAGCAGCAGGAGCAGGAGTGGGAGAAGCGCGAGAAGTGGGATAACCATGGGAAGGCGGACGTGGCGCGCGTCAGGGGGCCGCTGGGCCAGTGACCACGTCAGGGCACCCATCGGGCAGCGGGTAAGCCACCAAGCACGGCATGACAGCCCACAGCAACCGACCCTAGTGGATGCCACTGCAAACCATCGCACGCGAGCGGGGACTGACAAAGAAGAAAGACATCATGATGCACCTCCTGGCATGCACTCGATGCCAAGGTTGAGTCGTGCCTGTCCCCCTACAGGGGGATTTTGGGCGCAAAAGTAAAAATACTCCAAACATACCCCAAAAATACCAAAAAAATAATCAATCATCAACAAATCGTCCCCAGACTATTTTTTTACTAGTTTTGATTATTCCTCCTGTAGAGGGACAGGCCCGACTTGATGCCAAGGGGACCGCCGCCCAGGGAAGCGTTCCGACCTTGGCAGCCGAGGCCAAGAGAGAGCCCCGGTCCGACCACGAACGACCGCGGCACGACCCGACCACCCCCGCGCTACGGCGACGAGCCTCGGGGGGGGCATGTTCCCGACCGCCTTCCCGAGATCACCGCCTGGGAAGGCGCACCGACCCACGCAGAGAGAACCTTAGGAAGCTACTGGGAGGTCTTCGTCGGAAGGATTACGGAGGATTCAGCCCCAAAGGGGCGCTGTTACGCCAGATTGGGCCTCGCATGAAGCGGGATTAAGCCGGATCAGGCGGGATTAAGCCGGATTAAGCGGGATTCAGCCAGATTAAGCCAGATTAGGCAGGATTTCGGAACAAGGCGAAATCAGAATTTGACCTCCCAGGAGTTGCATCCGAGAGAGCCCTACTCCACCTGCGGACGAACGCGACACGACGCGCAGAGGAGGCGAGACTGGCGACATGATTTTCTGGTAGCCTTTCCGGGGACAGTCCAGCCCCGAAACATTACAGAGGCTGCGGTTTGCCAGCCCCCCGCGAGCCCACGGGGAGCTTCGGCGAGCCGCGCCGGCAGCGCCGCACGGCGCACGCGCGCGTGGGGGCTCTCCGGCCACCCTGCGGTCGCGCCGCGGGCCAGCGGGCCGCCTCGTGGCGGCGCGCACGGGGCGCCGGCGGTCCACCGCCAACCTGGCTGCCGCCGGGGACCTCGTAGAGCTCCGCAGCCGCAGCCGCAGCAGCCGCAGCCCCGCAGCCGCGCAGCGGCGCAGCCGCGCAGCGGCGCAGCCGCGCAGCCGCGCAGGCGCAGCCGCGCAGCCAGCCGCGCAGCCGCGGCCGCGCAGTCGCAGCCGCAGGGGGAGGGGGGAGGGCTTCTTAGAAGGAGGCTGCTTCTCGGAAGGCGCGGGCCCTACACCCACGGACCAGGCCCGCGCCTTCTGAGAAGCAGGGGTGCTTCCAAGAAGCCTTCCCCCCTCCCCCTGCCCCCCCTTCTGCGCGTGGCCGACACTTTTGCCGCCACGCAGACCTCCGACTCCATGACGATCACGAGCGGCGAATAGATATCCGCATCCAAGGCCTCGTGGTCTGGATTCTGGGGCGCGATCCCGTGGATGCGCGGTCGCAAGAACGCGTTTCGCGCGGGGCATCCGCGACGCCACGGGTGCGTTTCGCGTCCGCGGGGTCGCGGCCCAAGAGCCTAGCCCGCGAGGCCGCGGATTACGGTCAGGTTTTTCGCTCACGGGAGGAGCCCCGCGAGAGCCTCGCAGCACCGCGCGTCGACCACCAGGCCGCCGGCCCCCGCTCGGGGCTGCAGCCTCCTGGGCCGCTGCCGCACGGATGCCGCACCTCGACCGCATGGCCAGCCCTCGAGGCGCCTGGCGAGTCCAGCCAGCAGCTCCTCAAGAGTGCGGCGAGCACCGGGCCGCCTGCGCGCAGCGGGCGGGCAAGCCAGGCCTGAATCGCTGCGCTGCGGACTCCTTCGTCGTCCGAGCCCTGCGCGAGCCCAGCCAGCCACTCCCGCGCGACGGGCACTGGGCCGCCGCGCCGTGTCCCCGTCCGAGCCCCAGGCCCGCCGCGCCAGCGGCTGCGTGGCTCGCCCGGCGAGCATCGGGCCGCCAGGCTCGCAGGCCGTGAGGCTCTGCCACTGTGCTGCGGCCAGCAGCTCCGCGGCTCGCGCGGCGAGGCGCACGGGGGTCCACCGCGCTATCGGGCAGGCAAAAGCCTGGCCGCAGCGCTGCGGACCCCCGATGGAGCCTTGTGCGAGTCGGGCCAGCACCGTTCTCTCGCCCACTGCCCGGCGGGCGTTCGACTCGTGGCCGCCTTTTTGGGGCGAGAGCGGCCGGGAGCTCGCGGCCCACACAGCGAACTCCCGGCCGCTCGTCTCTCAGGAGGCTAAATGGGAGGAGGAGGAGGAGGAGGAGGAGGAGGAGGAGGAGGAGGAGGAGGAGGAGGAGGAGGAGCAGCTCCCAGCAACGCCTGGCGTGCTGCTAAATGGGCGGACGTCGTCGTAGGAGCTCTCGGCGACCACGGCCAGCAGCTCTCCACGCCCCGCGTGGAGAGGCCCGGGTCATCCGACTGCCCGGCAGGTGCGGCCAGCTTCTCCACGGCGGGCACGGTGAGCTGCGGGCCGCCCCCTCCGCAGTGAGCATGCAGCGTGGACGTCCTCGCCTGCCCCTGCGCCTGCTTGGACAACAGCCCTGTGAGCCAAAGGGCACTCGCCCAGCCTCCCGCCTGGAGACAGCCAGCGCGAACTGGCATGAGCACATGAACGGCGCAAGGTCAGAAGCCAACATGGTATACGGACTCGACTCGTGTGTATGAACGCCTGATGGGGTAGCATGCGATCCTGATTAGCCCTGATGGCAAACCAGACGCCCGAATCGACCCAACCACCCAGCCGTCCAGCCTCCTGCACGCATGCCCCTCGAGAGCAGGAGGAGGAGGAGGAGGAGGAGGAGGAGGAGGAGGAGGAGGAGGAGGAGGGAGGAGGAGGAGGAGGAGGAGGGAGGAGGGGGAGGAGGAGGAGGAGGAGGAGAAGGAGGAGGAGGAGGAGGAGGAGGAGGAGGAGCAGCAGCAGGAGGAGGAGGAAGAGGAGGAGGAGGAGGAGGAGGAGGGGGGGGGGAAAGTGGGGAGGGGGGGAAGGAGAAGAGGGGGAAAGAGCACTCGGCCGAGTCCGAAGCCGACCGCGCTCGGAGGAGCAGAGCAGCCGTCAGCGCCTGGAAGGGCGGCCCGAGGACGGGCGACGAGCGGCGCAGACGTCAGCGCCTGGAAGGGCGGACCGAGGACGGGCGACGAGCGGCGCAGAGGAGCTCGGTCGTCCGACTTCTCGCTTCGCGCCGTGCCAGGCCCGATGGTCCTCCCTGGAAGAGCGCGTTCCACGACTCGCAGAGTGGCCACTCGCAAATGGCCTCGGATCCGCCGCGGGGGCCCACGAGAAGTCACGTCGAAGCAGACGTGTGTTTGTCGGGCGTTGGCGAGCAGGCACTCTGCAAGTAGTGGAACGCGCTCGGTGACTCCCGTGCTCGCGCCACCCCTCCGGAGAAGAACGGGCCATCTCGCCCGGGCCGCGAGGCGCGGTGACCTTCGCGCCCCTCAGGGGCAGCCTGGAGGAGAGGGCGCCGCGGGGACGCTCCGAGCCAGATGCTGGTGCCCCCGGCGCCCGGACCGCGGGCGGCTCGCGCTCCCGCCGCGGCCCAAGTGGACTGGCGAGCCCACCAGCGAGGCTGGTCCCTCTGCACACTGCTCCCGCACCCCGACGTCACCACGGCCGAGCTCGGCGGTTCAGAGAGGAAACGAGGGGGCCCTGAGAAATGGGGCCCTCAGGATTGGAAGCGGTTCCAGGGTGAGGTCACGCTACTCTGGATCGCTTAATGATCGCCCCACCCCCCCGCCCTTGGAATGCCCAGGGGGGGGGGCCGCGGCGCGTCCGCGGGGGTGCCAGGGGGGGTCTGGGATTCGTTCCCTTCCCCGCTGGGGCGCGGGGGTGGTGCCAGGGGTGGTTGACCGCGCCACATTTTCACGTGTGTCACCCCCAGGCTGAGGAATAAGAAGTTCGGAGTATGTAGCTTAGCCCCCTTGGTCCTTAGGGCCCCATCCCTCGGGACCCCATCTTTGAACTGCCGAGACACAGAGGAGCAGTCGGCGGTGGACAAACCTCCCTTTAGTAAACCTCCATGTGTGAAAACGGCCTAGGACCGAAACCGACGGACCTGGAGCCGCAAAAATGACAGCCGCGACGCCCTCTCGCGAACCGAACACGGCCAATTCGCTAATCGACGTGTCAGGGTAGGAGGTCTATCGGCCTCCGAAGCAGGCCGTGCGCGATGTAGAGAACTGCGGCGGGGCCAGGCGGGAGAGCTGGCAGGCGGACAGGGAAGAGGAGAGCGCGCTCCCCCCCGCCCTCGCCCTCGCCCTCCCCTCCCTGCGTGACGCTGGGCGAACTTCGCTCAGCTCCCTCCCTCCCTTCCTCCCTCCCTCCCCTCCCTCCCGCCCTCCGTCCCCTCCCTACCC